AGTTTTTTTTTTCACACACACACACACACACACACACACATATATAAAATTATGTAAAAATACAAAATTACTATATATATATTATGCAATTATATCTTATTTAAAAAAATAGATTATCTACAAATATCTGCAATTATTGTATGTTTCTCATTTTTGTTTTTAGCTTAGATAATATTACAATAGACACTTTATTGGATTTATTCAGTATACTAAAGCACTGTACTCTACACTAATCTTCTGTTGACTTCAGGCTGTCAGGGTGGCTATATTTTACTCAAACCCTCAGCGGCTGGATGTGTATGTAAACAATAATTTGGTTGGTCCAACAAATGCTCAGTGGAATGCAGACAAAACCGACTACACACTGCGTGGGCCAACTTATACAGGTAGAGTACAGCAAGATAATGCATGTTAACACAGCGCCCCCTGCAGGCTGAAAGACCAAAATCATTTTCGAACAGATCATAATTGCTGTTTTAAATCCTCTCTGTGCTCCTCAGGGCAATACGTTCCCAGTTTCAACTCCAGTCATGGCTCTAACTTTTTTGACCAAGACTACAAAATGATGAACATACTACTTCGTGGCTCAGAACCGGTCGACATCCGCACCTCTCCGGTTTTGTTCCTGGCCTTCAATCTCCCGGCCATGACTGAGGCAGAGTTCTTCGGGGCAAATCTGGTCAACAATCTGGCTACATTCCTGAAAATACCCCCAAGCAAGATTCGAATCACCAAAATCGTCCGTGAGGGAACTAATGCAAGAAGGCGGCGCTCGACAGGACTGACAGTGGAGGTGGAGATCAGGGAGCCTCCTGTACAGACGTCCACCAACAACAGCACTGGTTAGAGCCGGCATCTATAGTGTATTAAAATTAAATGATAAATACAGTGTTTAGATCACAATACAATGTCTGAAATTGTATATTTATATACCGTCTGCAGAAGAAGACCAACAGTTTGAGGTCCTGAAGAACATTGCTGATGATCTGGGCCGTGCTGCTATCTCGGGCAATCTGAGTCAGTCCATCGGCTTCAATGTGTCGTCCCTGGGCATCATCCCTCCTCCTCCTCCTTCCAGTGACCCATCCTGGAATGATGTAAGATGTTAATCAACTCACATGACCAAACTCACTAAGATTATATTTCATTTGTTATGATGTCAAGCACCACTTAGAAATTTTAATTAAAACGTATAACACAAAATGTTCTGGGTTCAATACAAGTTAAACTCAATTGACCAAGCAAAAATCTGGGTTACATTGAGGCACTTACAATGGAAGTGAATGGGGCCAATTCATAAACATGAAAATACTCACCATTTTCATTAGTATTGTCACAAGATGTGAACAGTATGAGTGTTAACTGATTTTAGTGTAAAAAAAAAAAAAAAA